CTGGGAGTTGAAGTCCACTCATCTTAAAGTGGCCAAGTTTGGACAACACTGGGCTAAAGGATGGCTAATGTGAAGGGAAGGAGATGAGAGGAATGGATGGTGTCTGAAGAAAGGGCTGAGCAAAGGTCAACGTGGTGTGGGACAGGGTAAAAGAACACAGAGACAGAGGTCTCTCTACAGGATGCAACCCTATTTGCCAAAATGACAAAAAATTACACTGCACGTAGCAAGCTCTGCTCCTTTAGTGTGTGTGTGTGAGTGACACCATCAAGAAAGGGTGGAGTTTACGGTGCAACCTGGTTTTTGTCACTGGCTTCTCTTCATTCCCCGCCCCCATTCCCACCCTACAGAGCAGCCTTGGAGATCGCAGGTACTAGAGATCACACAGGGGTGCCGAGCAAATTAATCTGCAGGTTTGTGGTCATTCCTAGAGGTCAGGAGACTAATGCTCATCAGAGTGAAATTGACAGGAGGGAACAGGTGAACAGTGACACTGACAGAACAGACCGTGAAACTGACTAGGTTGGAGCCCCTGAGCCAGAAGATTACCAGTGAAGAAGATCCTCTTGGCCACAAGAAGGGCGAAGTCCAGGCTGTTGAGGGCAAGGATGTTGTAGAGGACAATAGCCCAGAAATTAGCTGCCCCAAAGATGCCTCTGACTCGCCGAGACGTGGCCTCCGACATATTGGCCTGCCGAGAAGAGACATCCGTGAGACAAAGAGGAAGGGAACACTTCTCACCTCATTTTCCTGCCCAGATTTTCTGGTTGGTCCTGGTGTGTGGCAAGAAGAAGTCCTAAAGCTAAAAAGGAACAGATCCTGTTGAAAAATACGCGGCTCACTAAAGTATGTAGGCCATGGGCACGTAGACATCTGGAGGTTGGGACTCACCCATTTGTTCATGAGTAGCCCTCCACACCTTCATTCATAATGCTTTGTTTCTTGAAAAGATTTGGGGAAGAAGAGGTCACAATAGTGCCAAACAGTTTAGATTTTTCTTCCAGAAAAATTCGACCAGAAGAAAATACATACCCGTTGTCTGTATTTTCTTCTGTGTAATGAAGTAACATGTGGTGGCTGTTTGGTGTTCCTGCTCTCCCCTGGCATTGCATTTGTGTGTGTTTGCTCTGCACATGCCCTGCTCTGGTTCACGTAAGGGAGAGAGGGAGGGGAGAGTGCAGGAGAGGGGGCTGAGACTGTTGGAGCTGCCTCTTCCATAGGGGTGCATGGGGGAACGTTTTTCTCTGCAGCACCCATTTGGATCTGGCCCAACTCCCTCTTGTTTTTCCCAACTTTCATGCCACACTAAACCTGGTCTCATTTTGTCCTTTTGGGGGAGTTACCCTGCTGAGAGACCGATGGGCAGAATTTCAAGCCCTTTTGCATGATTTCTTTTCAAGATGCCATTAGTTTGGAGGAAAATAAATTAAAAAGTATAACACTTCTGTGCACCCATGTGGCTCAGATGAGCAATTTTTGAGAATTCAGTTAGGCCTGTAGAGTTTCTATTCCCCATGCTTGGCTTGGAAGATCTCACAAAGTTGACACAGCGCATGAAGGATGGACTTAGCACCTCTTTTTCAGCAAACGGTTTCAGCTGAAAGAACTGTTGCACCCACAGCTCAAAATTGAGGCCAAAGCAGTTGCAGATGGACCAGATATAGACGATTTCGCAAGGACCCAGCCAGAGGGTGGTGATGGCAAAGGTGGAGATGGTGGCCATCAGTTCTTTCAAGATGTTGTCATGGTCCTCCCCAATATAATTGTAGACATATCTGGAAATCAAAGCAACAACAAGGCAGGTGATGTTCAGCAGAATGGCTGGTGGGAACATTCTCTCGTCGGTGAAGGATCAAGGGGTTTTTGTTGGCTTCCATCCCAGGAGCGACGTTTGTTCTGAGATGACAACGTCTCCTGAAATTCTGAAGCACCAATAGGTATTGCCACCAAAAACGACTTACTTGCACAGCCAGTCGTTAATCCCTCTGTCGAAGTGCCTGGAGACAAATACAAATGATAAAAGCAACTTAGTTTATTAATTGCTCTTATGGTGCAACATATATTCACCTATCTATGTGGCCAGCGTAGGATCCGTTCCCTTCCCCAGATCAAAATGTTACATCCAAACTTGAATGAGCAGTCAATGAATGCTTCTCCTCCCTTACTAAGGCATCTGTAGGGGGAGGGGGGGGTCAACATTGGCAAGATGGCAGTTGGTACATCTCCAAGATGCAAATCCCATCCCTTCTGAATGTGCATGCAATGTTGACTCGTGTACAAATGGACGGACATTGCATTGCATGTTCTGCCCACCATCTTGCTGATTCTGAGTCCTCCTACAGACCCTCCAAGATGATGGGCTATTGCCCAGGAACATGGTTTAAGGTGGCTACCTCGCTGTTAGGATGGAAGAGAAAGTAGATCTGCTGTCTGGCTACCGTGATCGTCTGGCACAGCATTTTGCCAATAAAGTCACTCAGATGCCCCAAAACCTTAACTCTTGATGGGTGGTGATTGATATGGTGATTGGGACAATATCAGGCCACACTATCTGGACTCCTTTTAGCCTGGAGGCTCCAATAAAGTGGATATGGTGTTTCCAGCATGATCACTGGCAGAGGTGGACTTGATCTATGGTCCTGGTATGGGGCTGGAGGGGCAAGAAAGGCTGGACCTGGGAGATTGTTTATGCCTCACTTCAAGAGGTGTGTTCCAGCAGTCTTGAAGGAGACTACGGTGTGCCCCATCCTTGAGCAACCCCCCACCCCACTTTAGATGCAACTCTTCTTGACAATGGTCCAGTTTCCAATCACTCTCCTCTGGAGAAGGTTGTTGTGTAGCTGGTGGAAATTCCACTGCCAAACACCCTAGAAGAGAACTGTCTGGAACTCTTTAGTCAGGGGGACCAAGTCCTCACTGGTTGCTCTGGTTGATGACCTGCATTGGGACCTGGGTGGTGGTTCTGCATCCCTTTAAGTCCTATTGGACTTCTTGGCAGTGCAATACATGGACCATGATATCCCTGTAGACCACCTGCAAGGGGATTGAAGACACTGCTCTGCAATGGTTCTGATCTTTCCTGGGTGGTGGTCTCAGTCAGTGGTTTCTGGACAGGAGAGGTCAGCCTGGTGGCTACTCCCTCATGGAGTGCCACAGGGTTTGGACCTCTCCCCCCGCTTTTTAATATCTACACGCAGGGTCATCCATCATTTAGGATCCAGTGTCATCAGAATGCTGTACTGTTCATCATCACTCTGAGTCCCACCACCGATGTTAAGGACTTGTCCTAGGGTCTGGTGTATGTTCAGGTCTGGATGGGACTAAAGAGACTAAAGATGAACCTAAGGAAGATGGAGTTGCTGTTTGCTCACCATCATTTGTTGTTGGCTTCAGCTTTGTCTCTTGAAGGGGAAGCCCTGCCCCTGAGGAAGCAGGTGCATAATTTGGGGGTTCTTCTGGACTCGCAGCTGCTGCTGGATGGGCAGGTAGAGAATGTGGCAAGGAGTATTTGTCCAGCTCTAGGTGGTATATCAGTTATGTGGAATGGGAAGCTGTTCCTACAGTAACTCATGATGTTATCATGGACTTCTGCAATACACTTTGTAGGCTACTCAAAAACTTCAAATTGGTTCAGAATGTAGCAGTCCTCTTGTTAGTCACTGCTCATCACTGTGATCATATCACATCTATATCACAGGCCTTCCATTGGCTGTCAATAGATTTCTGGGTGCAGTTTTGTCAACCCTTCGAGGTAGACCAAACTGAGAAACTCAAGTCATGCAGGCCAAAATTACTTTTGCTATAAAGTTATAGTAACAGAATCTTGCAAGTCTCAATGTGCTTCTGCCTCCCTCCCTTCATCTCTGAGAGAATTAGGAAGGGTCTTGTCTGAGATGTTTTCTCGGGTTATGGTTCTGTCCCAGACTCAGATTTCTTTTATCTGACCATTGTCTTGGTTGCAGCTCTTCCTTCAGTTCCTCAAGGTTATTCCTTCCACCCGTTACATGTTTAAAGTGCTGGTTTTAGTTTTAAACGCTTTATGGTTGGGTGCCTAGAGACCTTCAAGATCTCCTTCTCCAATCAGAGTCTGTTACAGTTATTCCAGAAGAAGTTGGTTGTGGGGCCAGGAGACATTGTTTGTAAGAACCTTCCACAAACTATTCAGAGTTGTTCCAGAGGGCACTTGGGAATTAATGGACAATGCCATCATGAGGTTGGTTGTGATCTCATTTCTAATTTAATCTTATATTCTATTTTTGTACTTGTTTCATTTACCATGGACTTTTGAACTGATAGTGCATTGTGCAGTTTTATTTATTGCTCCCTGGGAGTCCTTTGTGGTATTGTGCTATATAACTCAATCAATAGAATGGGTCAAAAAGTTTTACAGGCCTGTGGCTGTTCCAAAGTTCAACCCCTCTGTTGCCACCCTCCCTTCCTGCAGATCAGTCAGGCCGAGGAAAGCCTCTGCTCCCACAGCTATCAGCAGCAACTCACGTTTCCGCAAAGACGTAGAGCATCGTGATGCATTTGGGTGGCTGCGGTGGGTCCAGGTGGTCCAGCCTGGCAATGGTGTTGATGACCCCAAACATCACGGCGGCTTTCACCCAATCATACACCAGGTTGGAGTATGCCAGGCCAGCTGTGGAGCAGAATGGAAGGAGGAGGAAGAGGAGCACAGAAGGACAATACAGTGAGGTTGCATGAAGAATAATGTGTAGTACAGCCATCTGTCAGCCCTACATGGTAGACCAGATCATGAAGCAGAGTCCACAGGAAGACTAATCTAAGCTTGATTAAGCGCATTACCTTCCCAACCTGAGTCTCTTCTTAATACTATCTCACTTCCCAGTTTCAGAATATTTGCTTCAGGGGCACCTCCCTAGCTCTCTGTGTGATCAGACCAAGGCTGTAATTACTCTGCTGCGCCCTATTCATCATCTGGATTTTTGGAGTCCAAATATGGTAGAGGTAATGGGTAGCATTCGCTGGAGTTAGGCTTCCAAGGCCCATGAGCAAAGCCAAATTCAGACAATTCAACCCAAGAGAACCAGAAGCAGAATTAGCCCAGGATGTGTTAAGGCGTCAGAATTGCTTGAGTTTTCTGCAATCCTTAGATGGGAGAGTCTAACATCAGAAGGTAAGGTGATGTTTCCTCATCCATGCCAAGGAGAGAAGCCAGACTAGCCAGCAGCTGAATATAATTTCAGAGAGACACTGTCCTACGCAGCATTCAAGCCAGTGGTTCTCGGGGCAGAGATGTCAGTTATGTCAACAACCAACAACTGCTCAGCATCAAGGCCAGGAAACATAGGGCAAAGGGTCCACTGAACCACGGGAAAAGTGGGAAGAAGACACAATGGGCTGAAACTACCATAGGTATAATGGACACTGCATCTTCTCACTCACAGAAGACAAATGACTGTCCATTGTGGCTCCAGTCAAGTTTCCAGTGAAGATTCTTAGCTAGCTGCACTGCAGTGCTTCCCAACCTCTTTAAGATAGGTGGACTTCAACTCCCAGAATTCCCCAGCCAGCACACATGCTCACCCAGCGCCCAGTCGGAGAGACGGTTCACAAACTTCAGGTCCGAAGGAATGGTCAGGATGTAGAAGAAGTGGAAAAAAACATCCACAGCCACAATGGCTGTGAGGTGGACGGCAGCATGGATGCTGATGTGCCACATCTCGCGATCTTTACGCTGCAGCTCATGGTTGTGAACCTGTGGCCGAGGAAAAATGAGGAGGTCATAGAGCTTCTCAGAACTTCTGGCCCCATCATAGAACGCACAGTGG